GCAGTTAGTGGTCTCCTAAAGACAAATTTTAACATGTACTGTTGGCTCAGACACACAGATGGACAATGAATTACTAATACGAAGACTAAAGATAACTCAAGATAATTTGACTCCGGATCAGCAAATTTAAACTTCTCACCAGGAAGTTCTGATTGGTCAGTCATCCTTGTAGGCACTTTAACCTAGGTGGGGCTTCTTCCTGTTCTGCATGGTCCAAATTCTGGCCATTAGACAAAAGCCAGCATTCCTCAGGAACTGGTGAAGCAGGTTCCCCTCTACCAAAGCATCCAGTTCCCTTCTTGTTGGTAAAAGGGACAAATGGCTAGCTGAGGTGTCTATTAACATACCAAAGTACATGCTGACCTCCAGGTTCCCTCAGTATCACAAGAACCTAGTTCTTCTTACCTCTACTGTGAACTTCATCCATCCTGCCCCAGCTTCTCAATGTCCAATAACCCTGTTATTTCTGCTATACTCTTCTTTTTTTGGCCCTTTCTCTTGGATCTCCTCTCTTTGTCTTCCTCTCTGACTCTGCCCTTCGCTCTGTTCTCCTTTCCCAATCTATCTTCTGGCCATGCTCAGTCTACTACTCTCTCTCCCTGCTCTGGACTCTTCCAGGTGCCTCTGGCTGTTCTCTCCCTGGTACTACAATAAAAACCTCCCACTTAACCACAGCATAACTAGTCATGTCATCAGTTTATGCACTGCCCCCCCCAAGCCTTGGGCAATATTCTACAGTTTATTATAAATACTGATACCAGAAGAATAAACAACATAACAGTATATGAAATTTTGGCATAAATTTAATGAAAAAAAATCTTGATTTTCAGAGCAGGGGATTTGGGGGTTAAGGATAATAGGGTTTTAAGCTGCCAATCTCATTATTATATTTTACATGTAGACTATGTCAGTTGAATGAAATTGGAAACAGCGGTGCAGCTCTATCATCTAGCCCTTCCTGACCTCAGGCTGACCCAGATTATCAAGCCCCTTAGCCCAGCTAATACAGATGCAAATTGTCAGAACTGAGGCTGGAACCCATGGTCTCAAATTTCCCTCCCTTCTCTGAGGATGGGGGATCTAAACTCTTGAGCACACCCTGTGTACTCCGGGGTCTCATGGTGTGATCCTACACTGACACATCTGCACATGTGTACCCCTCTGTCTCTTTTCTTTGTATTTTAAATATAGAAATTTATTTCATAAATTGTGCTTTTTTTTTCACTTTGTCATTTTTCTATATTATAAAATCATGCAGGCTGGAAAGTCCTTACTTCAAAAACAAAGGTTCTGAAGGGGTTGGAGAGATAGCTTATCAGTTAAAAGCACTGACTGCTCTTCCAGAAGACTGGGGTTCCCAGCACCCACACAGCAGCTCACAACTATGAGTAACCTCATCCCCCTTCTGGCCTCCGTGGGTACTGCATGAACACAGTGCCCTTAAATACAAATGAACAAAATGTTCATACACTATATTCCCATTCAGGCAGTCTTTCCACTGTAAAAGCTATTTTTTTTTTTATTTTTCTGGTTCTGTACATAAACTAGGATGCAGGAAATGTGTCCATACTGGTTACTTCTGGGGGGAGCCAGATGGATGGCAGACATCAAGGAGAGGGAGAACTTTCATGGTACAACTCTCCACACTCTTTCTTATAAATACCTGAATGTATGTCCCATTTCAGAAGTAAGTTTACAAAAGAAAGATGATATATTCCAATCGCAAAACTAGTCAAGGCAGAAGAGAGCATATGGTTCAGATTACGCTCAATTCCCAGATAAACCAGGACCAAGATATCTTAAAGATTTTATTTTAGCTTTTTGAGACAGAGTCTATCTACATAGTCCTAGCTGTCCTGGAACTCACCATGTAGACCAGGCTGTCCTTGAACTCACAGAGATCTGCCTGCCTCTGCCTCCTGAGTGCTGGGATTAAAAGCATGTGCCACCACAGCCTGGTGACAGTGTATTTTCCAATTGTCTGTGTGCCTCCTGACTTAGAATGGACAGGTTGCTGTGTTCCATATCTGGAGAAGACAACGTTGGGAATGAACTGGATGTTTTCTGTGTGATGTTTAAACATAATGTCACTTATCCCCAGCCCCTTCAGCCTTCAGGCAGACCACCACCATAAAACTACTAAAAGCAGAGGGTCTTACCAGGAAGAACCAGCCTGTGTGTCCTAGACCTAGCTGGTGTCTATGCCTACCACATGCTGTTGGAACTTGGAGATACTAATTCCCATGCCATCTATTGGAGTTATTTTCTTGGAAGGTGCAAAGGGCGTTGTAACTGTGAGAGTGAAAAATACTGGGCACTGTCGGGTTTTTGTTTGAAATTTTGACCTCTTAACAGGAAGTGTTAGGGACAAGAGTAGATGGCCAAGCTGGTTGGCCAGCCTCTTTCTATTTTTGGCCCCTGGAACTCACTCCTGTGGTGCATTCTTATTTTTATAATGGAAGGTTGTAAAGTTCAAAGGCAGCAAGGGTGGGCAAAGGCGAAGAGCTGGAACTCTGACTCTTCTACTCCAGAGCCAAGCAGTACAAATTCTTTGTGAAAAAGTCTGGCCATTTCAACTAAAGCTGGCTGCATGGATTACAATAGCCCAGCAAGTTCTGTGCTTGCTCTAGAGTGGGCACAAATACATGCATCTGTTCTAGGGCCAATGGCACGTTGAGTCCCGAAGTAGAAACCACCCATACACAGACCAGTGTCTTCATACAATGGACTCCTTCCCAATAGTGAGGATGGTGTCCAAGTACATGTAAGTAAGCCCTATGTCCATGTCATGATCATGCTTAAGTCCATGCTTGTTTAAGTCTCTCGAAGCATCACAAACCACCCACAATATAGTCTTAAAGAAAAAGTGACTTACTATTTCTCATGAATCCTGGGCTGGCTGCTGAGTTCATGTACCAGGCTGTGTTGAGCTGAGATTGGCTGGGCTTGGAGGCTCATGGTGACATTATTCATAAGATGTCGTTCCTGCAGTGTAGCTTCTCCTCCTTGAAGCCTAGCCCACCCTCTTTACATGTCAATGCAGGGATCCTTGAGGATGAAAATTGGTGCTGCATAGCTGGATCCATATTCCTGCTAAAACGCCACAGGATGTTCCATTTCACAGATGAGAAAGTGGAGGCCCAGAGTCATGCAGCACTTTGCCCAGGGTTACAGACATAGGAAAGGGAAGAGCTAAGTTTTGATTCTGAGCCTGCCTGACTTGATCTGGAGCACAGCAGCCTACAGGCTGCATATATCTGCAGCCAGGTCTTGGTTTCTAGAGTTTTTTAATTTATGAAAAAAGTCAGAGCTTTAAGCTCAGACATTTGAAAATTCCCTAATGATTGCTAAACCTAGTAAAATGATTACATAGTAGATTAAAGAGGTTCATTTCTCTTCCAGCAACAGTGTGGCCAGGCAGGCTGACAGAGTAGCTCAACTCAAGGTGACTCAGAGCCTTGGCTTCTTTCTGTCTTGCAATCCCATCATCCTGACCTCACCTGGGCCACTGAAGCAGTTACCAAGTGCCAGAAGTCCTCTAGTGGGGGTGGGCCTGAAGGGTCATCCTGGGCACACTCATATTCCTTTCAAGCTAGCTGGGTGAGTGTGATGGACATCATTTCCATGCTATTCCCATGGCATACCTGGCTGGAATGGATAATTGGCTGGCCAACCCGTGCCAAAATGTGTCAACTTTGGGGAAACAACTAACAATCTTTGTAATTTGGGGGGGGAGGGGCAGGTGGTAAGCATGGAAGCCTCCTTGGCCTGAACTCACTGTATAGGAGAGGTAGGTAAGGATGACCTTGAGCTCCTGACCTGCTGCTCTACCTCCCACGTGCTGGGACAAGGGCATGTACCACCACAGCCAGCTCTTGTGCTTAATAATGAAACTGCTCTTTAATAATTGCCTTCAAAAGGCCACTCAGAAATAGCCAAGGTCATGTTAATAAATGTTTAAAATTTAAATATATAATTGTCAAGATTCCAATGGCTTACACACTTTCCTGGAAGGAAAAACAAATAACTGTCTGGAACATTTCTTTACATGAATGTAGAGGGCAGCCTCTAAAATGAAGAATTCATGACTTCAGCACCCAGAATCTTGGACACCAACAGTATCCTAATTAGGGCCTGAAATAACTTTTTTTTTTTTTTTTTTTTTTTTTTTTGAGACAGGGTTTTTCTGTGTAGCCCTGGTTGCCCTGCAATTCACTCTATAGACCAGGCTGGCCTCAAACTCAAGAAATGCACCAGCCTCTGCCTCTTGAGGGCTGGGATCAAAGGCATGCACCACCACACCACTGCCTGGGGTGGGCATTGGTGCAGGATCCTACAACTCACAGAGGGAGCCTCCCTACCTGTTCCTTTATTTACCTGTCTCCTTCTAGAAACTGTCAGTGGCATCACTAGGCACCCAGCCCATACTAGGGATTTCCCTGTCCTAAGAGGAGACCTGTCTACAGCCCCCAAGTACCCAACAAAGGGACTTCCCTAGAGCCTAAAGTTAACTCAGGGCTAGGGGATATCTCAGTGGCAGAGCTTGTGGCCTGCACAAATGACATCCTGGGTTTAATCTCCAGAGATAGATTAATATCTAGTCTCAAAAACAAAAAGGCAATGTCATGGTCTATGATTATCTAAAACAGCAAAGGCAAAAGGCATCAGAGGGCTCCCCAGCTTCAAGTGGAGGCAGACCCAGATACAAATCTGCCCTTTCCCTTACTATGCTTGTAACTGTGGGCAAAGGGCTGCATGTCTCCAGGCCTTGGCTTTCCCATCTGTGAAATGGGAACATCTTTGGGAGTTTCAGTGAGAATCTAATTAGCTTACTATAGGTGTTCAATGAATTAATTTCCTATCACACTACTCTCTTGTCATTCCAGAGCTCAAAGATCCATACATTAGGAAGTTGAAAGGCTAAAAGTTTAGTAAGTAAGTCCTGACAACAGATGAAGGAATGGTAAATGTTTATTATGAGAGAGCATTCAGTCCAGACAGGACACTGAGTGACTGACTCCCTTGCAGCTTGCCCCCAGGATCCACCCCATGACAGAGGTATGGCCCTGAGCACCATATTACATGTGAGGAACCCGAGATTTCATAGCTTTTGCAAGGTGAGCTCCATGGAACTTCACTCAGGTCAGACTGCATGCCTTCAAGAACATACTCTCCCTGTGACCCTGACAGCCAGAGGGAGAGAGGAAATGGTGGCCAGCAGCTATGAAGGCAGTCATTCTCTGGCCAGATCTCAGCTGCCTTATTTTAGGATGCATCTAAAACTAAAAAGCCTCCACTTTCTCTCAAGGGAAATGGGCTTCTGAGCTCCAGACTGAGGACTGATTTGTGGGAGCCACATAGTGACATAAGTACCTTGACCCTCACTGAAGGGTGCACAGTGGCCAGGCTCAGTTGATTCCATCCCTCTGTGCTCCTCCTGCAATGTTTCAGAGATGACTTCTTGCCTCTGGCCATCCCCAGGAGTGGGAGGTATGGAGGATGTGGATGTGTAATGATTTTTATGTAAATAAAAATATTCAAATTATAAATGCATTATCTCTTGGCCATAGTCTCCCATCCCCTCTGCTTTTTGGTACATGCGGCAGGCCTAATAGCTCCTGTAAAATGGGGCAGTGTCCTTGTTTGCATGCCCCCTGGGCAACACTGGCCCAGAAAGGTAGGTGGTAGGAGTTCCTGCCTCCTGATCTGCTACCCATGACAAAGCCAGGGCTTTTGCTTTCTTGCACTAAGTGGCTTTGAGGTGACTGTGTTTAATCTCACTGTCCACCATGCACTTCCTCTATGAGACAACACTATTACCAGTTTGATCTGTCTTGAAAGGTTTTTCCTTCATGGAGACATGGAGAACGTCATGACCCAGCCCATGTTTTCATTCTCACAGAGGCCTCCAACTCTCTCTCTCTCTCTCTCTCTCTCTCTCTCTCTCTCTCTCTCTCTCTCTCTCTCAAGCCTCCAACTTATCATCTTGAGCAATAAGTACATTTCTTTTGAAGAGTAAGTCACAAAAGCTCACTAAAAACTCCATTTGGATTTACCTGAGATCAAGGACTTTATACTGAGTCCATGTTTCTAACCCTGAATTTTCTTGGGCATGCTGGCTTACACCTTATAAAACAAACAAAATAAACACCCTGGATTTGAACCAACATCTAACCCTAATACACCTTCTAACTGACCCTAAGAAAAGAACACCAGCTCTGTACCCCGCTCCCCAAGATCACGTGGAAAAACACAGAGCCAGACAGAAAGGAGGGGCTGTGGTTTGATATTGTGCAGTCAATGTCTTGGCTTCAGAAGGCTGCCACTTCCTGAAGTTCCAGCCCTCGGCTGTGGTCCACTCTGAGTAAGTGAACTCCTCTGTAGAAACTGGCACATAACAAGGAGGTGATGTCACCAACAGCCAGGGAGGTCAAGGGTCCTGATCCATCCAGAGACAAGGTGAAAAGGCAGGCTGGAGAAGGAGGAGAACCAGTCATATGCTTAATGATAGAAACATCTGTAAGAAATGCATCATTAGGCAGTGTTGTCACTCTATAACATCATGGAGTACACTTACGCACATGTAGATAGTACACACAACTACCACACATCTATACTACTGGGTGTGGTCTGTTATTCACAGCAACATTACACAGTATGGGACTGTATCGTGATCTTAAGAAACAGAGCATGCCCTGTACCATCCAAGCCATGAGACGATTCTGCCTGTCAACAAGGTACAGTATACCTGAGTGGTAAGACTGGGTCACCTCCATGACCTCAACTGGAGAGAACGGTACCCAGGCCCAACAGAATGTAGGCTACCAAGCAATATATCAGACAACTAGAGCCATACTGAAAAGGGGTAGAGAACAAGACAAGCAAAGTCAGGGGAAACAGACAGGGGCACTGGTCTGGGCTGCCACCTGTCTTCATGATAAGGAGATGGTCGGGCTTCACTTTTAACTGGGCCATCCCTTCATCTGCATCTCTGAGGCAACTTTTGTAGGAATGCCAAGAGCACATGCAGGGCAGCGGTGCCATCTGATCAGGCCAATGTCCCACACTTACTCTCTGCCCTGACACCTGTGGTCAGTACATCTGAACATCCACTTCCTCTCACCCACAAAGTTACATCTAGGCAGGCCAGGGGATAGCAGGCAGGCAGGCAGGCCAGTCTTCACTGCTGAAGTTTGGTTTATGGCCACAGCTGCTTACAGAATGACACTAGACACACCCATCTCTTTTTCTCTGGCAGGTGGTTCTCACTCCCTGAGGGGAACTGAGTTTCTGTGAGTGACTATGGGAAGACTTTGAAGTTCTCTAAATTAACACCTTCCTGTCTCTAGCTCAATCCTATGTCCAGGGTGGAACCAGACTCCAGAAGAAAACCCAACACTTACTCACAGCACTTGGAAATCTCCACAGATACACGCCCTGCCAAGACTGAATTCAGGTCAGAGGCACTAGGCATTAGACCACGGCTCACAAAACTCCCAGGTACCCACCATTTGACTTGTATGACTCTGCACATAGAGGACTCTGGGAAGCCACAAGTCAGGGATTAGGGATTTTCTGTGGTGCTGAGGAGCCTTGACATTACTGTGACCTCAAACACAGCTCCAGAGTCCCAACAGGCAGAGCCTTTCTGAGTCTGGTCTCGTTTCACTAAAGTCCCAACAAGAAAGAGCTGAGGTTCTAACTGTACCCTTGAAATAAGAATTCAAAAGTAGCATCTTTTCCCTGGCTTTCCAGACATTGCTAGCATCACAACGTTAAAATCTGATGAGGATTTTCAGACAATGAATGTAAGAGCCAAACGTGCTCTCCTTGAAGCTTGAAGTCTTAAGAAGAACTCTGTACATTACAGCACGTGGGAAGCACAGTGCTGGCTTAGAGCCGGAGGCTCAACACAAACATGTGGGTACTTTGGTGTCTCACCTCTTAACCACAAGGGGACTGACTATACAGCGGCAGGACACGGGGGCAGTGTTTGAATACGGCAAGCAATGGGAAAAGTCTCCAGGCTGCATCAGCTTTTGAGAAGTATGGAGAGCACACTGCTTACCTCCAGTATCTTGGTTCCAGATCTTCACCGTAGAGTCATGTGCTGAGGTAGCAATCATAGGCATCAAGGCCATGGATTTTGGTAGAAAGACACAGGATGCAACTGTCTGGAAATGCCCCTTATACTCACACATTCTGTCTCTTGTCTGCCTTAGGTCCCACAACTGCAAAGTAATGACACGAGCCAGCTCATACATACAGACAGATGTTCATGTGTCACTAATATTCATCCTCCCATTCCTCATGACCCACTGGTCCCTTCCACTCATGGATTCAGAAAGGCAGTTGAAGCCCTCATCTCATCCATTATATTTATATCCAACCACCCATCCATCCAGTGACAATTGTAGCATCCACTATGTCTCAAATACTGGCTCCGGCTGTGGAGGAAGGGTGCTGCCTTTTCCATGACTAGGGAAGAGAGAGCTCACAGTGCTGTGGGATGATGGAACAGTATGGGGTGCCTTGTTCTCTATGCCTCCTGGCATCTATGGGTCCCATGGGGGCCATACATTAAGGAACACTTCTCAAGTGTGCACACAGGTGCAGATATTCTGAGGTGATGCTTAGTACCCCTGACAAAGGAGGTGACAGCCCTGTCAATCCCAGTTGTACTGACACAGATCAGACCATACCTAGAAGGTACCATTCAGAGATGAGAGAAAACTGCATAGTGTCAAAAAAAAAAAAAAAAAAAAAAAAAAAAAAAAACAGTGGGTTCCCAGGAGACCCTGTTATCCATCAGCTTGGACAAGAGATGCTTGTAACATGCTAACCTACCCCTCCTAAGAGTATGTACCGAGTAAGAGATTCCAACTTGCCATGACTCCATTCCCTCAACTATAAAATAGACATTGAAACAGCACCTAACTCACAAGCTTATCTTAGGGAGTAAATGAAATGAAACCACGCACACTTAGTTCAATACTTACTGTGGCATACATACCTGGTAACTCAGAAATACAACTTTTTCATTTGGAAACTAGATAATTCTTTGTACTGATAAACTGCAATTGTGAATCCAGGAACTTTGGAGGGGCCTAAAGAGTGTATCCTTCAATTACTGCAAGGAAGGTGTAGAGCTGGATAAGGGGCAGGGTGGGCCCTGGACCAGTTGTGGAGCTCCACAGTTCCTCTAATGAGCTGAGCTTCCTCTAGCATGGCTACACATACGAAGAGCACATATCTGGCTCCTCAGGCAGTCCCTACCTGTCTAGGCTCCACTAAGAGCAAAGGCATCAGCAGGCTGCACTGTCTGGCCCCTCTCTACTTGGTTCCCATCCTGTTCCTCTTGTCTATTATCGATTCAGACAGACCCACCCACACTAACAGATGTTTCTTAAAGGAAGCCCCTGGAATACATGGGGTGATGGACAGTTTGCACTTGAAGCAGGCCAGCGCTGCTGCAGAGCCTGTCTGTACAGCTAGGTGAGGAGAGAGACCAGGGCAGCCTGCTCATCAATATGGGTTCTTACTGTGGCTTCACAGCCTTCACCCCCAAAGCCACTGCTGCAGGAGATACATGTATGTCCATCCATGCTGACGTCACAGTGGGTCTGGATCTGCTGCTTTGTGGGAAACACATGAGCCATCTGAAGCCCCCGACTATCCCATAATCTGAAAGAAATTGGAAATAGAAATTAGCTTTGTAGTAAATGGGACAAAAACACCTGTAAGGTCACTAACAGGAAGAGTTTGACTCTTTGCTGCCAGTCAGAAGAGAATGTCACACTCTGACAAACTCTAAAGCTGACAGGAAGTTACCAAATCAATGCCATCTTGATTCTGTTTTGAAATCAAGTCATATGAACTTTTTAAAAAATTACACTTATTTATTTGGGGTGAGGGGCTGCACATACCACAGCATGTCTGTGGGTCCCAGGGACTGAACTAAGACTGTCAGGCTTAGCAGTAGGTGCCTTTAACTGCTAAGCCATCGCCACCTTTTCATGGAGACTCTAGAACACACATCTTTTGATTGTTTTCAGAGACAGGGTTTACCTTTGTAACCATGGTTGTCCTGGACTCAATGTGTAGACTGCCTGGAACTCAAGAGATTTGCCTGTCTCTGCCTCCCAAGTGCTGAGTTAATTAAAAGTATGTGCCAACACCACCTGGCTAGAACACACTGGTTGGTTGGTTGGTTGGTCGGTTGGTTGGTCGGTTGGTTGGTTGGTTGGCTGGTTTTGGTTTTTTCAGACAGTTTCTCTGTGTAACTACCCTGGTTGTCCTGGAACTCATTCTGTAGACCAGGCTGCCCTCGAGCTCATAGAGATCTGCCTTCTTCTGCCTCCTGAGTGCTGAGATTAAAGGTATGCATCACCACTGCCCAGCTAGAACACACATCTTAATTGTTCAAGCTAACTTGATCCTGTAGGACACTGCCATCTATTTTTGCGTCTGTAAGTGACAGTTTTAGAAAAATCCTGTGTTGCTGTTTTGAAGCAGGTCTTGCTCTATAGTCCAGGCTGCCATATCCCTCAGCCTCCTGGGTGCTCAGACTGCAGTCCAGACCCACTGTATGGAGAAAGCATCCTCACTAGAGTGTCACCACTCAGAACAGACCCAGGCTGAGGCTGCCGTGCCAGCCTTGGCCTTGGCGTCCAGTCGAGAGCTTTGTGTAGCTTATCTCATTGCTTCCCCCCGTTTTATACTAAGCGTCCTTTTGGAGAGCCAGAATCTTGAAGCATGCTCCCCAGTTGGTGAACTCCTGACCTTATCTGAACCCCTCAATGTAGATTCTGACCCCTCTTTCCCAGGGAAAGAAGGCTGAGGGCTAGGTGCCAGGAAACCCCAAGAATGATGCAGGGCACGGCAGCAGGGCCAGGCTGCCTGGCGGGGTGGGTGAGCAGGTGAGGCTGAGGCGGATCTGGACAGTCACACACTGGAAGTAGTGAGGTCAGCTGCTTCACACCATTCAGAGCAGGACCTGACGGCCCCGATCTTGTTCCCACAGGCTCCAGGTTCCCATGGCAGCTAGGAGTGAAGGGGAAGAGAGCCCTAGGAAGGGCACAGCAGCATGGAGAAGCAGAATGGAGAGTCACCATAAGCAGGGGAGCCACAGACCTTCACCAGAAACACCTCCACTGTGGCTCAGTAGCCCACCTGATGGTCTTATCCTCAGAGGACTGGAGTACATACGGCTCTCTGGGGACCCAGCACAGGTGAGTGACCTGGAGAAAACAATGGTAAGTCTCCACATCGGGTCATTCCTCTGCTGCACTCCATTAGTTGGCTAACTCATCCCTCATCCTTCTCAAGGATTCTGACCAGTGAGCTTGGGTTAGCACGGTCACTGTCCCGCAGCTCCCAAGCAGTCCTCCTCCACCTGCATCTCCTCCCTGCTTGGGGCTAAGGTTAGCCTTGGCAACCTGAACTCCAGTTGCAAAAGATGAGCAGGTGGCAACCAGAAGAGCCTCTGTGCTTAGTGGGGCCCACTGAACCCTGCTGTGACACCTCAAGGGCTCCTAAGAGTAACAGTAATCCTGGCCTTGCAGCCCTGGCTGGACGGGCATGAAACAGGCCCCAGGGTGGGAGAGTTGTCCTTGCCTCAGCACTGTCCTCACAACAGGGAGGCCATCAGGCAGGCACATCCTACCATCTGCAGCTGACTTCAAACTAGAATAGGAGGTGACTACACTCTGAGGAACATCTGCCACATGTCAAGCACCACCACATGTGTTTTATGTTACATTTTATCTCATCCAGTCACCCAAGAATCTTGCCTGGTGACATGGCTCCCATTTTATAAATGGAGCTATTTAGGATCTAAGCTTAAATAGCACAATATAGCAATCACACTAATAAGTGACAGATCTGTGATTTGAAGGCAGGGCTGGGAATGGAGGCTAGAGGCAGAGTGTTTGCTTAGCATGCACAAGTCTTAGGTTCAACCCCCAAGATGGGAAAAAGCAAAAGAAAAAACCCACACACAAACGCAAGTGTGGAAGCCAGGTGTGACAGGGCCCAAAGGCTGTGCAAAGTTTACAGCAGTCAGCTGTCACACAGAGAATTCTATCAGGCAAAGGACACACTTTTCTCTGCATGATGCTACATACTCAAAGGGGCAACCAGCCATCTTGTATCACATTCTATACACACAGAGCTCCTGCAAGACAGGACACCATGTCCCTTGTTATATTTGTATTAATAGTGCCTAACCCAGCCAAATTATGCTAACAGTATGTTCTTAAGAAAACAATGAGGGTACCACTCTCTTTTCCTTCCTCCCCTCTCTTTACTCCCAGAAGCCACCCCTCAAGTGAACCCAAGCCACTGCCCCATGCTAAACACACAATCTTATCTACTATGAGCCATGCCCCCAGCATGCTTCCCTTAGTCCATGCTCCTTTCCACCATCCTGTTCTACACCAAGTCTGAGTACGTACCAGGTTCCTGGAGACAGACGCTCTCTCCACACACTGTCCAGTCCCCAGATCCCACAGAAGCAAACTGTTGTCCCGAGAGCCGGTGCACAGCTGTGATGAGTCTTCAAAAACAATGGTGAGAAGACACAATAGCCATGAGTGGGGATGTGGACAAGCGTTCTGGGAATGCACCCAGGTGCTGCCAGGAGATCTGCTTCACTTACCTGGACTCACAGCCAAGCCAGTGACCACCATGGCATGGCCAGACAGCTGCTGTTGGGGCTGGGAGGAGCCCTGCAGGTCCCACATCATGACTGTCTTGTCTCGAGAGGCGCTGAAAAACTGGTTTGATTTGGGAACACAGGCTATCTGCGCACAAAACAGATAGAAACAGAAATAGCTCAGGTGCACATGCTAGATAGGACTACAAAATAGCAGATGGCTTTGTATACTCCTCCCCACACACACTCTTAATTTCTCTTTCTTTCTCTCCCCCCCCACTTTCTTTTTCCCACAAAATAGGGTTTTTTCTGTGTAGCTGTCCTGGAATTCACTATATACACCAGGCTAATTTGCTTTGCTTTAAAAAAGATTTACTTTTAGTTCTCGCTTTATCTGTTACAGAAATGACCGCTTTAACCATTTTAAGTATACAGCTCAGTGGTAGCAAGTACATTTGCATTGTTGTACAATTTGAACACTCTCCAACAGTGAAACTTTCATTACCCCAAAGTGCAACCCCACCATTGTCTCCTCTCTGACCCCTGCTCACCACGGTCTCACTGTCATGTCTCACTGTCCTTTTGTCTAGCTTCTTTCACTAAACATGCTTCCAACATCCGCCGCTGTTGTAAGTACCGCCTATCAGAGTCTCACCTTTTCTTTTCAGTACTGGGATCCAATCCAGGGCTTCACCATGCTAGGCTTTACTCAGCTATACACCCAACCCACACTTTCATTCCTCCATTAAATTATTGTTACTATTTATATGTATGGGTGTCTTTGCTTCGTGTATGTCTGTGTACCACTTTTGTGCCTAGTGCCCGTGGAAGCCAAAAGAGGATGTTGTATTCTCTGGAACTGGAGTTACAGATGGTTGTAAGCACCCTGTGGGTGCTCAGTATCGAACCTAGTTCTGGAACAGCAGCCAGCGCTCTTAACTGCTGAGCTGTCTCTCCAGCTCCTTTTGTTCCTTTTGGAGACTGAATACACTGGGTGTTGGTGGCACACACCTTTAATACCAGCACTCAGCAGGTAGAGGCAGGTGGGTTTCTGTGAGTTTGAGTCCAGCCTGGTCTACAGATCAAGTTCCAGGACAGCCAGGGTTATACAGAGAGACCCTGTCTTGAAAAAAAGACTGAAAAATATTCTACTGTCTGTATACTGTGGCATGTTTTCACCCACACCTCTGCCAGGTATTTGATTAATTCCATGTTTGAAAGTATTTGCTCTGGCATCAAAGGAAGCCTTTGCATTTTTTCTTCAGCCTAAATATACAAGCTCTCTAACAGCCACAGCTATTGATATTTCTTGATTCACTCCTCAATTCCCCTCAGAATAAGCATTTGACAGTTACCTTAGTGATTTCCCGCTCATGTCCTCTGAACCTTTTCACCATGTGTCCAGTTTTCCAATTATAGGCCACAGCGGTCTGCAGAGAAATGGAATTACATGTGTCACCACCATGCTGGCTCCTGAGCAGGACATCAAAGCATGTTCTGGCTGAGTGTCAGGTCATTGCTACAAAGGAGCAACAACTGCATGGCCCCAGATGCTGTAGCACTTGACCTGTCACTTCCCCACAGTCTTCACAACAGAACAGAGAGATAGTCCTGCTTAATCCTCACAGGCAAGAGAAAGGCCACATAAGTCGATAACATTTCTTAGGTCTAAAATAACATAGACATTAAGACAAGACAATGCTGCTGGGTGGTGACGCACACCCTTAATCCCAGCAGAGTCAGAGTCTGACTGGTCTACAGAGCTAATTCCAAGACAGCTAGGAATATACAAAGAGAAACTCTGTCTCAAAAAAAAAAAAAAAAAAAAAAAAAAAAAAAACCAAAGAGAGAGAGAGGAAGAGATATTACATTACTAAAGTAAGTATTGATACTCAAGTATATTCTGATTTGAAGCAATCACATTCAAAGTAAATGCATCTTACAAATAAATGGTGAAGGGGGCTGGAGAGGTGGCTCAGAGGTTAAGAGCACTGATTGCTTTTCCAGAGGTCCCAAGTTCAACTCCCAGCAACCACATGGTGGTTCACAACCATCAATAATGATATCTGGTGCCCTCATACATGCTGGCAGAACACTGTATGCATAATAAGTAAATAAATCTTTAAAAAAAAACAAAAAACAAATAAATGGTGAAATACAGTTTGCAAATGAAATGGAATGATTGTGAAAGTCTATTGGAAATAAGGAACATTACTAGTATTATTCCCTTCAGAAAGAAGCAGTAGTGTATTGCTGCTGCAGTTGCCAGCAGTGACTGGCAAGATAGCTCTTAATGTAAGGACAGAAAGCAGTTAAGTCCAGGGTGACGGTAAGAGGAAAGACCGAAATATAAAAGGTCAGTGCATGCCAGTGTGAATTTTAGGAAACAAAACATAAAGCAACCAGGAAATTCTTTCTGCTGATTTTACTGTAAAGAATAAGGTGGGTGGAATGGTAATGACCCCATTTACAATAGCATTCAGGTGGCTTGGCATTGGGTGAGGTTCTCATTGAATCCTCATGACTCTTTTAGAACACAGGAGTTAGTGTTTACGAATGTAACAGACTAAGAAACCAAAGCTCAAAAATGTAGACTTGCCTACAGTGATAGGAAGTGGCAGAGCCTGGGCTTAAACTCCAGCCTTCAAACTTTGAGCCCTGTAGAAATGCAGTGTTAGACTCTCTCTCAGCAGTGAACTGCTTTCTTGGGAAGAAAGGGAAACCTCACCTTGTCTTTTCCTCCAGAGACACAAAGGTCTGAGTTCAGAGTAGCAACCACAGAGACGGCATCCACGTGAGCGAGGCTGTACTCTTGGGACACTTTAGTCTGGGCTCTCTCTTCTGTATGTCCATCAGGTCTGCTACAGAGAGGATGGAAAATGAGGGGAGCAGGGGGTAGAACAAAGTGGGCAATGATAGCAATTCAGGCCAGGCTGAGACAGAAAAGAGACCCACTGTTTGTTTGGGAAATACCCAGAAATAAAATGGTGCTGTTTATTTGGGTTATTGAAATCTGATGAAGGGGAATCCTGAGGCAAGGAGTCTTTGCTCTCATTAGAGATGATTCCCAATGATACAGGGCCCTAGAGTGTGCAGTACAGGTACTAGCTGGTGAGGTGACCATTTCTTACCTAAGACAGAACACCAAACCCAGTGGAAGGGAACTGCACAGGTACTCACCTTTCCTTGGTAGAGAGCTATAAAGGAACGTATAAAAGTCGGGGCCCCAGGACTCAATCTACCTGTATTTGTAAGTGCTGTGCCTGAGTTTGCTCTGCAGTTTCCCCATCACAGCCCAGGGCCTACAGAAAACTTTCTGAGGAAGAGCTGGTTTCAGTTGGCAGTTGAGTAACAGCATCCCTTGCAGTCACTGGGAGGTGTGTTCCCTGTGGAGTGGAGAGAATGCATAGGCTGAATTTCATTAGGCACAACACTAGTAGTGTGATTAGAATCCAGGTGTATGTGACTGCTCACTAAAGACAGTTTCCTTTGGGAGGGATAAAAGTGTCATGCAACTAGATAGTACTCTATCATAATTAATTAAATACTACGAACATATAATTGAAAATATAATATAATCTATATTAGCAAAGCTTCTTCTTTGACAATTAAAGTCATTCTCTCTCTGTCTCTCTTTTGCTCTGTGTAAGTATGTGTGTGTGCGCGCACACACATACCTCATGGTGCAAGTATAGAGGTCAGAGTATAACTTTGTGGAATCACTTCTTTCCCTCCCTCCACCCTCTCGTGGGTTCTGGGATTGAACTCAGGTCACCAGGCTTACAGAGCAGTGTCCTTAACCTGCTGAGCCATCACACCAGCCCTGGAAAACTTCTTAAAACTGAAGAGCCCAGCCACTCTAAGAGCTATCACCTTTCTTACTTTAGTCATTTCTTTGCATCGCTTCTCTAATGCTGCACACCAACATCATGAGGCTATTATGCAACAAAAATAGATTCCAGAGAGACAAGACTAATGAGATCATAGAGCTAACTACCTAGACCAGCAGTTCTCAAAGCCAGGATGCTGGAGGCATTTCTGAGTCTCTCACAGAGCCCCAAGATCTTCCTTCACCTTAATCTCAGTGCAAGGCCTGCTTTTCTTTCTATATATTTATTGCAACATACCATGAGAGACAGGATGAAGAAATAGGTATGAGAATCCGATTGTTTTCTCTTTAAATATCACACTTAAGAGACTTTTAAAAAACTCAATACTAGCTATCGGTGGTGGCACACGCCTTTAATCCCAGCACTTGGGAGGCAGAGGCAGGCACATCTCTGTGAGTTCGAGACAACCTAGTCTACAAGAGCTAGTTCCAGCACAGACTCCAAAGCCACAGAGAAACCCTGTCTCAAAAAACAAAACAAAACAACAACAACCCTTAATACTACTTTTTCCAACTAAAATTTTTTGGAAAGTTTATTTTTTAACAAATCATGCCATTTATGTAGCCATGGCTGGGCTAGAACTCACAGGATTAAGGCCAAGTACCACCACATCTGGCCCACAATAGGCTTTTGCTTGTTTTTTAGAGACAGTCTCACAGCCTGGCCTGGAGCTTTCAGGTTGGCCTTGAATTTGCAATCTCCCTGCCTCTGATTCCCAAGAACTGTTAGTTCAGTCATCCACTACCACACTGCATGTGCGAGACCTTTATTAGTTTTAAGTAGGAAATATTTTTTAAATGTCTCAGCTTTACTGTCATACAGAAAATAGTGAGTAGGAATCTAAACACAATAAATTACATAAATAAAAGGTCTTGGGGATCCTCAGTAATTTTTAAGCATCAAAAAAAAAAAAAAATCCTGAGATCTTGCGGCCAAAGTGTTTGAGAACAACGGCCCTAGAAATTACATCATGTTAGTACTGAATGTTATATTAGGATAAGAAGAATAGAAGAATTTTTGGGGGATTTACTTATATTTGTGATGGGAGATGTCATTTTGTAAATATGTTTTTCTTATTGGTTAATGAATAAAGGCCTGTTGTCCAATAGGAAAGCAAAATAAGTGGGACTAGGAGAGAAGGAGGCTTCTGGAAGATGTAGTAGAGAGGAGTCAAGATGTAGGACATGAGAGAAGTATGATCCTCTCTCTGGTAAGGTAAAACCATGTGGAAACACTTAGATTGATAGAAATGAGTTAATACTTAAGACAGAGAGAGCTAGCCAATAAGAAGCTCTAGCCACTGGCCAACAACTTTGTAACAATAGAGTCTCTGTGTGTAATTTCCCACTGAGGAGGCTGTAGGACCAAGCTGACATTAAAGTAACAACACAGTTTGAACTCCCACACTCTGTGCTGCATCCTGGCCACATGCAATGCAGATAGCTATGACGATGTTGGTTGCAGGGGCATTGTAGTCTCCTATGCTCTCAGCCATGGCTGTCTTCATCAGCTCATAAGGCTAGAGCTAAAAAGTAAGGGTGAATTATGACTTCAGAGATGCCCATGTTAGGGGATGCAGGTGTAGCAGCAGAAGTGGCTGTAGGAGGCAGAATGCTTGCCTGGTATGAAAAAAGACAAAGAAAAAAGAAAAAGAAATAAAAGGAAGCCAAGGATGTTCATCTTCACTCACTCAGGGAACAGGGCCTGAGCACGTGATGTTCCTGCATGAGTTGCTGGTGCCACAAAGAACAGGAGAGAAATCTGAAGAGGTGGACAGCACCAACATTTGTAGGAATTCGACAGGAGCCCATCTCAGCTACCCCCAGGTCCTGTGTCCTTCCAATTAGCTATTCACTGGGATGCTGAAGAGCCAAGGGAAATAAAGGGGCAATGAGAGGGGCCAGTCCTAATTTCTTCCAGGTTTCTACTTAAAGAAGTTATGAAGAGTCTATGTGTCACAGAGACAAGGAGCCCAGCTCCAGGAAGAACTGTGCATAGAGAGCAAACCAACTAAGAGCTGACAGATACATACTCTTTTTTTAAAAAAAGATTTATTTTGTATGTATGTATGGGTCCAGACCTTTTCTCTAAAGTCTCTACATCCTGAATCTCCCTACTACATGTATGTAGTGTTCTGTCTGCATGTTTGCCTGCAGGCCAGGAGAGGGTGCCAGATCTCATTAAGATGGTTGTGAGCCACCATGTGGTTGCTGGGAATTGAACTCAGAACCTCTGGAAGAACAGCCAGTGCTCTTAACCCCTGAGCCATCTTTCCAACCCCCCAGATATACACTCTTATTCACACCACCACTACTAAAAATGGACGTACCCAGGAGAATTCCATCCTACTGTTTGAGGAAATGCATGAGCCAGCATGCTAGAAAGAAGAGACAAACAGCTCATATGCACAATACAGCACCCAGAATGCAGTGTGTGCCACTAGAGGTCTGGGATCTGGCCCCAGCTCTGCCTCATCTCACTCACAGCTCACTGTGTCCACGAGTGACACCAGTCCCCACTCCTGCACCAGCCCTCATATCTAAAGCAGCAGCACACTACTGAATGACTGTGTTCCATAAGGATTCTTTTTTGTTCCCCAAATGGCTTGCACAGTATGACACAGGTATTTGTTGCAGACTATTCTATCTGCAGTCTCTTCCAATTCAAACATTCTAGGATGTTCTGTGACAGGCCACAAGATGTATTTATTAAAAGGGAAGATTCTAGGAAGGTGTCCAGGACACTTGTAATAGCTACTGTTTATAGATACATAGACTTGCAGGATTTCCTATCTGCCAGCCTAATCCATGTCCAACACTGTCATCAAAGTGCTGATAGGTGCTGCCTGTAGATCTAGGTCACTGGAAGCCACAGAGGCTATACAAGTATTTAAAACCAACTGCATTTTTATTGGGTATCTCCACTGAGGAGACAGTCTAACAAAGGGTAATTTGGCATTACTTACCTCCAAAACAACAGGTCTTCTTTGAGAGCTGCTGTATTTGATCTGTAGTTCATTCAGACTCTGGAAACTAGTCAGACAGCTACTTCCTAATCTCTGTAATTAATGAAAGGACGCTCAAGTTAATCTCTCCTCTGTCTAAGCATATGTGTGCACCAAAGAGATTTACAACACAAGTGTAAATAGGGAACTTGTTAATTGAAAATATTATTAGTGTAGTTTTTCCTCATTAATAAATAGCTCACAAATTTCCAAGAGTATATAAACCTCAAATTTCCATTAATGAGGCAGAGTATAGCATGATGTTAACTATACACTTACTTGATTTTTGTTTATTTGTTTTGAAATAGGGTCTCATGTAGCCCAGCCTGGCCTCAAACTCACAATGTAGCCAAGGATGACCTTGAACTTGTGGTTCTACTGCCTCTACCTCCTGAGCACTAAGATTAAAGGAACTTGCCCCTGTGCATGGTTTATCAATGCTGGGACAGCATAGAGAGATGGATTTATGAGTCTGGAGGGTGTTAAGCCAAGACATTTATGTCATTTAACCAGAGTGACAGATCACAATCAGGCTAAAAATTATGTTAGACATTAAGGAAAATTTAGAGAACAAAAAAAATAAATGTACTTGGTGGACAATATTCACCATATAAAGATTAACCTATTGTTTATATCATAACCTGTGACAGACTTTCTGCATCTGTGCTTCCAGCCTAGTATGGGAGAATGAATCTGAGGCATTTATTTGCTGAATAAGGAAATGTCATACTAAAATGAAGGGTCAGATTAACTGGAAGCTTTTTTTTTTTTAAGTGCACAACATAACACCCTGTGGTGTTTTTACTGTTTTTGTTTTTTTGTTTGTTTTTGTTAGTTTTTTGTTTTGGTTTGTTTATGAGATATAATCTTGCTGTATTGTCCAAGCTGGCTTCCAACATCAAATCCTCCTGCCTCACAGGTATGTGTGACCAGACCTCAAAATAGTGGTCTTTTAAAACTAACAAGGACTGTTTAACAGATTTCTGAAGGCACATTGACCTGCTCCAACACTCAAAGGCTGGAAGGACTTGGGAAGGCTTTTAAAAGACATTATGGCTCTGGATGTCCCTCTTGGTTTAGTTTCTGGTGGAAACCAAGATGTAGGTCTACATTTGAACCCTGGAACTATCTCTGCCCAAATCTGCTTTCAAAAGGCCCAGAGGTCATATTAAATAGAGCACAGAGTATCCTCTTTCAGTTATATAGTGCAAAATTCTTTTATAACCTTTAATACAACTGGGCTCCACAGGGTTGCTTACTGTCACAGGGGCAGAGCTGAGTGAGCTGAATACTATTTCCTTGAACTTTCCTGATTCTGTTTGTAGAGACAAAAACACAAAAAAGATTCAAAACAAAACAAACTCTCATATATTAACATTGGATCCTGACTACCTCGAGCCTGGTCCTAGTGACTTGAGATGTCTTATACATTTAGTCTGATTCCTAGTTACTACCCAAATAGCCAAGACCCGTGGTGCTGTAAAATTTACTGCTTGACAAGGTAATGAGATGTTCTCCTACCTCTTTGTCCAAACAAGTTCCCTATAACTGTTACATAAAAGAACTATTCCCTCTCAGGGAATCTGCCCACTAGTGCCCACTAGGCCTGTCTCTTCTTGCAACATATTATTTTCAATAAATCATCTCTGTGTTTATGCTGGTCTATCACCAAGAGTTCAGCTTGTCATCATAGTTCCCATCATGGCACTATTCGTGTAAATGATTATTTTATCCTCTGCTCTCTTCCCAAATCTCTTTCATTTGTGTATCTAATCTAGACTCTCTGTGACTACACCAGTGTTCAAAGAGTAACAAAACTACAGGCAGAAGCTTGTAGGAGATGGTCTGGGTCTGACCCTCTAATGATAACAAAAAGGAAAGGGTTCTGACAGTAAGAGGATTTGCAAACACTCAGTGCTAGGTCAGTACTCCTAAGGCTGAAGACAAATCAATATACAGTTCTTTCAGCTTTGTTTTCTTTCTGGCCCTTCAAATTATAAATGTTCCTACCTCTGTCCATTATCCGAACAACTAAAGATTATTTTTGACGTACACGTGCCCTGGGAGGATTCTGCCAAGATGGAAGCAGGGTGACATTCGGTCCGAGACAGAACCTCCCCGACCCTCTCCTAGCTTTGGGCTGCCGCCGGGGACAGCACAAGGACTCCACCCCCCAGACACTCTCCTATCCCACCTCAGGCTCCATACCCACCGGCGGGCTGGCACCAAGGCCCGCAGGCACGAGAAGCTGGCATCTGCCGCTTCCACCCGGCTCCTGCGCCTCTGCCCCTAGCAACTAAGCGCGCGTCGCTAAGGCGGGAGTCCCAGTTAAAGGTTTCCGGCGCTCACCGCAGTCTCGGAACTCAGGTTCCACCTGCCGGAAGTCTCCAAGGGGCCGAGTCAAGAGCGCCTATTTCACTTTCCTAATTTAACTGTTTATAGATGTTCTGCGCAGAGGGGGCTTGTGAAGAATCTATACCATCCAAGAAAAACGATGATATCTCTGTCATAGCCACAAAGGCAATTTGTAAGTGTCATCTTCGTAATTACTATTTGCCCAGGTAATTTATTTGAAGTTTCCCTGAATACAGACAGAGTTTTTCCCTTTTGGACATTTCCCCCAACACTCTACTCTGTTCCTTTCATTTGACGTGTATTTATTTTGATTAATTTTCCTAATATATAAAGTAACGAGTTTCAAAAATATTGAAACTTAGCCGGGCAGTGGTGGTGCACGCCTTTAATCCCAGCATTCTGATGGAGGCAGGCTGATCTCTGAGTTCAGGACCACCCTGATCTACAAAGTGAGTTCCAGGACAGCCAGAGCAGTTACGGAGAGAAAAACAGAACAAAACACAAACAAACAGAAAAACCACACATATTTATTGATTTCCTCTGTTGTCCTTGTGTAGGAACCATGTTATTTTCTTTGTATCATTCCAATTAAAACAAAAACAGTTTGAGAATACGTTGTTTTATGTGTTTGAGTGCTTCGCCTGCATGTATCTATGTGCATCACTTGTGTGCTTGATGTGAGCTGAGGTCTGACCCTACAAAACTGAAGTTAACAGTTGGTTGTGAGCTACCTTGTGGGTGATGGGAATTGAACCTGCCTGGGTCTTCTGCAGGAGCAACAGTGCTCTTAACCACTGAGTCTTCTCTCTAGTCCCTGTATTGTTTCAATTTTAACGTATGTGCTGCCAAACTAAGTACTTTTCACTTTGTCTTTCATCAAACCGAAATAGGCCAGCATCTATTACAAAAAGACCTGTCAGTACCTTCTTGAGATCTAAATGGGAAGGTACAGCTATTGGCTGCTACAAAACAGTTTCAAGTCCCAAATCAACATGCTGTATTCCTAGAATAAATGAATGACTAAATGAATGAGTGGATGAGATCCTAACCAAGGTATCTTTTATATGCTAGTGAGTGCTCCTTGTGAGGAGCAGGTATCCCAGCAGAATTACCATTCCATGGGGGGATTTGTGGATATTCTCAAAGTTGAGTGTCTCTGGATGTAACCAGAGAAGTTTGCCCTCAAAGAATCAGCTTTGGCCACTAGGTTTAATCTTCCAATCTAAGGAGAGAATTTCTTCTGCAGCATTCCTGAGTGGGGCTCTTCCAGCTCATAATGTTCCTTCTGTTGATAATGCACTAATTTCTCTCAGAGTTAATGGGCTGTTGTTGGGAGATAATTTTCTGGCAGGTGCTAAGCTCTATCTCTATGTCAGTTACAAGTCTTATTTTAAAATTGATGAGTTACCAGGTGATGGTGGCACATGCCTTTAATCCCAGCACTCTTGAGGCAGAGGCAGGTGGATCTCTGTGAGTTCAAGGCCAGGCTGGTCTACAGAGCAAGTTCAAGGACAGCCAGAGCTGTTACACAAAGAAACCCTGTCTTGAAAAACTAAAACCAAATAAACAAACAAACAAAAACAACTGAGGACTCTTCATGTATATTTATTTTTTCCATCTTCTCATTTTACAGCAGAGCAATACTCCCACCTAACTAAGTGGCAAAATACGTGACTTCAATAAATAGCAAAGTGAAATAAATTTTGGAGTTTGCATGCTTTTCATATTGCTGTGACAATATACTTGACAGAAGATAGACATCCTGATTTGTGTTGGAGACTCCAGTAGGCTTAAGTACATATAAAAACTGAGCTATTATTAGAGTCCTACCCCTAAAACACTCTGCTCTGGGATACAGCCTCTTTGAGAAATGCCTTAGGCTTCTGGCAGCTGATACTTCCAAACTGATATCTGTTGTCAGACCTGTCCCTAAGCCTCATCTGTAATCCACCTACTTCCTGCTCATCTCCACCTGGCTATCCAAAAGACACCTCTTCCTTTCCATGACTCAGAGACATCATCTTCTATCTAAACCTGTTCTTCTTTTCTTCCTGTAAATGCTGGGCAATACCACCCATTAATCACCCAAGCCACAGACCTAGGAGTCATTTGTAACTTCTCCCCAAGAACAGTACTCCCACCAAGATTTTCCAGTTCTGCTTTCTAAATTTCTCACTTCTCTCTAACCTTTTGGGTTCAGGCTGACATCCAGGGTGTGATAGGTTAAAAATAACCATAACTGACAGGCAGTGGTGGCTCATGCCTTTAATCCCAGCATTTGGGAGGAAGAGGCAGGCGGATCTCTGTGAGTTTGAGACAAGTCTGGTCTACAGAGCTAATTCCAGGACAGCCTCTAAAGCCACAAAGAAACCCTGTCTCAAAAAACAAAACAAAACAAAACAAAACAAAAAACCTATACATTCATTGTTGGTTCTTTCATTATGGTTAGCCTTATAAATTATTTTGTCCATTTGAATGAAGCATAAGTAACATTTTAGAACTTCTGATTTAAATTAAAAAAGACACAATTTCTCTTTTCATCTTTTGAACCATTGCTATTACAGGAAGAAATCCTAGCCAGTTCACCTGAAAGACAGAGCACGTCCAACAGCTAGCACCAAATGGTAAGCTCCTGATAATTGCGAGATATTTGATCACACTGTGTGAAGATGTGTCTGTCCCACCTCACCTACCTAAAGCACCTTCTGATTGGTTTAATAAAGAGCTGAACTGCCAATAGCTAGGCAGGAGAGGCTAGGTGGACTTCTGGGCAGATATAGGAACTCTGAGAAAGAATCTAAGGTGGGAGGACTCACCAGCCAGACATAGAGGAAGTCAGACATAAAGTACTTAGGAGATGAAAAGAGCCATGTGACAGAACATACATTAATATAAACAGTTAATTTAAGTTTTAAGAGCTAGCTGAGAACAAGCCTAAACTAAGCTTTCATAATTAATAAATTATCTGTCTTTATTCAGGAGCTAGTCCATAGAAAGTCCAACTACATGAATGAGTCTGTTTTATACTCTCTAGACATCAATAAGCCATCACATGGTGGAAACCACAAGAAGAGTCATTAGAAAAGTGGTCCCAGTGAGCCAAACCAATTTCTAATCTTCAGAATCATCAGCAAATAAACAACAGTCATTTCATGCCATTAAGCTTTTAAGGTTAGTTATGCTCATTAAACAATGAATATCCAAGGTGAAGTTCAAATTCTTCATCCAGTCTCATCCAAAGAGAATATATATATCTCATCTATGCTATGAGATTTAACACTTAGCTTATTGTTACCTTAGAGTCTTGGTTAGTATTGTAGTTGGTATTGTCACTGGACAGGATCTAGAATCATAAAAAACAAAAAAACCTCTGGGCACATGAGAAAGTTTCAACCAAGATGGGTTTATAGATCTATCAAATCAGTCTGGGGTCCTGGAGTGGATAAAAGGAGAAAGTAAGTTGATGTCAGTATCAATCATTCTTTCTTTATTGACTATGAATGCAGTGTGGCTAGCTGCCTCCTACTTCTGCAGCCATGGCATCCCTACCATGATAAACTGTATTAGTTAACTTCATGTTGTTGTGATAAAAACACCACGACTAAAAGCAACTTGGGGAAGAAAGAGTTTATTTCCCCTTGCACTTGTAGTCCATCATGAAGGGAAGTCAGGGTGCAGAAACTCAAGGAGGGAATCTGAAGGCAGGAACTGAAGCAGGAGCCATGAAGAAATGCTGCTTCCTGGCTTGCTCAGTTTGCTTTCTTATAGATGTAGCACCATCCACAGTGGGTTGGGCCCTTCCACATCAATCATTAATTAAAAAAAAAAAAAGCCCCACAGGCTTGCTGGCAGTCCAACAAGGACACTTTCTCAATTGAGGTTTCCTCTTCCTGGATGACCCTAGTTTATGTCAAGCTGACAAAAAACTTGCCCGCATATAGACTATATCCCTCAAAGTGTGAGCCAAAATAATCCGTTTCTCAAGTTGATTCCGTCAGGTATTTTGTCCCAGCAATATATAAAGTAACTAATCCACATCCCTTTACCCACTTTGGCTATGTATCCTCAGCTTATAGACCACCTTCCTGTCTACCCACTAAGTCTTTTCATCCATCCTCCTCTTCCAGACCAGCTTAGTGGTCCTACTTCTGTGCTTTCAAAGCTCTTGCACTTTCCCTATAATGGAGTTTTATTATCTCTCCTTTCTTTTTGTTTGTTTGAGACAGGGTCTCACTATGTAGCCATGGCTAGCCTGGAACTTGCTGTGTAGACCAGGCTAGCTTTGAACTCACAGAGATCTGCCTATATCTGCCTCCTGAGTGCTGAGGTTAAGGATCTGCATCACCATATACTGCTTTAAAAAAGGGGGGGGAGATCTCATTTATCTGAGGTTGGCCTTGACCCTTTGACCCTCCTTCCTCTACCTACTCAGTGCTGAGATTATAGAAACGCACTATTACACCTGGTTTTATATGGTGTTGGGGAACCGAGGACTTGGAGACACACTAGGCAACAACCTGAGCTATGTTTCCAGACCCTTGGTGAGTATTTACATTTTGTTTTGATTGTTAGATTTATTTTACTTTACCCGTATGAATGTGTAGCCTGCATGCATGTATGTGCACCATGTAGGTACCTATTGAATCTCCTGGAACTGGGGTTATGGTTGCTTATGAGCCACCATACAGATGCTGGGAATTGAACCAGAATCTTCTGCTAGAACAAGCACTCTATTTATGTATGTATGTATTTATTATTTTATATGCCAGCCACAGTTTCACTTCCCTCCTTTCATCCAATTCTCTTTCCTTAATCCCCCCATACTCTCCCCACCTGCAATAAGTACTCTTAACTTCTTAGCTATCTCTGCATCCTTACTTGCTGAGCTCTGTTGACAAAAGAATGAAAGGTGAAGAGCCTTGGAGAGAATTAAATATATGCAAAATGCTACAAGTGTAGTAAGCAACATGATCTCATGCACACGCTTCCAGGGCCCTCATCTCCTATCCCCTCCACCTACGCTGCTAGTGCCTGTGACGCCACCTTTACACTTTACATAAATACAACCCTGGCTCTTGGTTCTTTATTGCCTGAGTTGTTTGGTTCTCTCCTGGCCCATCCAGCTTGGTCATGCCCCTCCTATGAAGTGAACTGGTCATAAAGCCCTCTAGGGAGGAGCTCTGGGCTCATCTGGCGTGCCTCAAGTGGAGAGGAGGCCTCTTTCCCCAGGGCCCTGACCTTGTCACCAGGGACCTAGATGTCTGAGTTTGTTGTCACTGGCAGGCTGCCAAGCCCTCTTAAAGGTGACAGTTAAAGCTGGCTGTTCTGTAAAAACATCGCAGGAGGAAATGAAGCCATAATGTTGATAGCCTTGTTGTTACTCCTAGAATGTGAGCATACTGAAATTGGTTGACTTCCAGCCAACACACCAGCAACTCTGAACCAGGGTGTGAACATTGAGGAGGAATGGGTGCAGAGCCTTGCCAGTCAGATCGTGAAGGCTCTCCTGCCATTGAGGAGCACTGCAGCTGCTGGGGAAGGAGAATTCTCCCTAAATTACTTTCTAAAACATTTACTAAGAATAAGCTTAGGGGCGTGGGGAAAGCTCAGTGGC